CGAAACTTCACCCCCGAAGACAGCCAGATCAGAAAAGAGTGCCAGTTTAGAGATGAATTTCCACCGTCCTAATCCTGAGCGATTTTTCCCGTATTCGGTGAGTGATCGGTTCAATAGGATAAATGAGTTATGTGAGAAAGAACGGGCGGGCTGGCGTGAGGTACAGAGTACGATGGCTGAGAAAGCAGAGGAGGCAAGTCAAGTCGCCCATAGTTTGAAATCCAGTGTTTCTAAGGATGACTTAAACCACCCGTCTACAAGTAAGAAGATTGAGGAATATGCAAAGACTGCTGCTAAACCATACAAGGTTGATGAAGAGACTCGCAGGGAGTTCTTAACACAGCTTCACCGAACTGCATGGAAAGACGTCAACCAAAGAGTCACGAAGGCGCGAGAGGTAGCGCTTGCTAGAAGGGAAAGTGATGTGAATCAGGGCGCGTCTACATCAGCAGAAAGTCCTTCATGTAACATCCCCTCAAGTGACGAGTGGCTAATACACCATCCATGCTTGTTTGATGCGATTGCCTGCTCTGAGGACGACAGTGATGACGAAGAAAACTGCTCCCAGTCCTCTGTAACTGGACACGTGGCCATCTCTATCAAATTCAAAATGTTCTTCAGGAACGAAGAACCTGAAGAACCGTCGGAGGAACCGGAGTTTGATTCTATCAGCCCAGTGGAGGAATTACACGCGGAAATCGCTGAAAACAAGCCCGAAGAAGGAATCGCTCTAAACGGTTCCATCCTGTTTGTGTCCACAGACCAACCGCTCGCAACTGAGGGAGATGACCACCGAACTAAAAGCAGTCGTCGATTTTCACCTGTACCCTCTCCGTGCGCGAGCCCCAGACCTGGAGCACTTACCAGGGTTCTAAAAAGACGACAGAACAATTCTGTTGAAGGCTCGGTGTCCAGAGGTGGAAGTAAATCTGAGGAAAGTGTCCTTCCTCCGGCGCTGACTCCAACTCCTTCCCCAGAAAACAAGAGCGACAGTCGAGGAGGGTTTCTTAGAGGTGTTATCAGTAGGATTGCACAGAGGAGAAGTAATCGCGTTCATGATGTCACATCTCCCGGGAAGTCCCAGTCCTCGAGCAACAGCGCCATTTACGGTAATCCTAGGTCCTCTAGCGACCGTGCCCTCCAGAGTACTCCCCAGACCTCCAATCGTAGTTCTTTGACGCGTGCGTGGTTGAATGTTCTGGGAAGAAGCTCCCCTCCCACATCAGGCAGAGTCACACAAATTTTGGTGCGTCCTTATGACGAGAGCCAAGCCGAAAACGGTCGTAGACTGGTGCCCTCGCCCGCCTCCGTTGAACGCAGGTCCAGGGTAGAAGTGTCCTCGCCACCTTCCCGCGTTCGGAGCTCTACCTCCGGCATCGTCACTTTCGAAATTGAAGATGATATCGAAGTCTGCTCTTTCACGTCGAGTCCCACCTTCGACGCGCGTTCCGCCGCCGAGATCGGCGGCGGGACGTGAGAGCCACGCCCCTTTTTAAGTACTTGGCCTCAGGCGTCCTCCGGAACGTCGAACCAAAGCATCAGAGGTACGTCACACATACCGTGGGGGAATGGGGTGAGTGGAAGAGATACTCAATGAAGTTCCTAGAGAGAGGGGAGAGTAAGGAAATTTTATGATTTATTTGGGAGGGGTAGACGAGAGAAAGTGGTCTTTGCGGTCAAAACATTGACTTATCGTGACGTACATGGAATAGGTGGGTACTTAAGCCGTACTTGAACGATTTAGACCAAAGCGATCGAAATGAAGAACCTGAACTAAAGTCTGACCGAAACCCAGATTAAAATTCCGATGTGAATAGCCCAGTATACTCTCGTCGTACTTTGGAATTCTCCAAATCTCCTAATCGGCTTTTCCACCAGGATACCGTGATTTTAAAACGTAACGTATATCACCACTCCCCATGATATAAGATATAAATCCCTGGTTTGTGTTATCTAAGCTTTCTTCCCTGCTGTTCCTTCAGTGTCATGTTCTAGAGATAACATCCTTTGTGCGTGAGCAATTTGAAACCAATGTTGTGACTCAGAACACGCAGCAATTCACACGTATATTTTCAATGGTTTCCCTTAACGTCAGTCAATACATGATTCAATTCAATTCGATTGATGCCTTGAGGCCTTAGTGTATACAAGTAAGGTCTGGTACTGACCCAGAACCGAAAAACTTAAAAAACCTAGATTAGTCGAGCAGACTTCCTGGAAACGGCCATAAAATTAACAGTCACTGAATGACGCGCGTGATTCTCGCGATCCACGCGTATTTTCCGAGAAACGTGCGCGCCATTTGTTGCCCCAGGGTAGGCCTCAAGATAATCCAGGGAAATGTGGGGGTAGGTCTTTTGTAGCCTCACCCCATTTACCGCACAGAGGAAATCGCGTTGGATTCATTATGTGCTAAAAATAATGAAATCAAAGCTGGTCATATCGGAAACAGGATATCCAGTGTTTCTCTTTTCTTTTCTTGTAGCAATAAATATTAAAAAAAATCGACTTGTTGATCGATTGTTCTCATAACATGCTTCATTGACTTTGTACCGACGACATTTGAGAAAAAAAAATTGATCGTCATCACCAGGAGCCACAATCACTCTTAGAGCGTTATTTTCTAATTCGGGTGCGTAAGTACCCCAGTACAAGTCATAGGCCTACTCGCCCCCGTCCAGATTGCTTCAGAATTACTACAACCGCGGAAACCGAGCCCAAACTAAGAGTTATTCTATTGGATATAAATCCTGTCGATTGGTTATTTTTCGGAAGGAAACACTCACAATCTATTGCATACGTCGGGCGTGAACCACTGACTTCAACGTTGACAGGAAATACGGTTTGCGTTTATTGTCTTCATCGATGCTTCTTTGTAATTAATAATTCGACGAAAAACATACCAGTACTGGCTAAAGGAAAGATAAATTGACTGACTGAAATTTAGGCGAAGAATGAAAGTTTTTTTTTAAAAGTATCTTGAGTATTGCTGAGAAAAGTGTAACACATCAGGTTGAGAATTGTAAAGACATGGCGGATCATCGCAGTTAGATCTTTTTTATAATCACTTGCAAAATGAGAATTGAACGATTATGTTAGGTTGCGTAGTAGCCCGAGATAAAGACGCTCACGGAAGCCATTATTTTTCCACTTTCCCTTCACTTCGGCAGAATATTCTCGGCCTCTGTTGATTAAAGAGAGTCGCATTTCCTTTCAGGAAATGAAAACTCAATTTGCGTCAAACACAAGACCATAAAGAATTTCACCATCAACCAAAATTTTTGCAAAATATTTTCTGACACTTCAGCCACTGGACCTTACCACAAAGATATCGTTCCACATGAAGAGAATCCAAGTGTAATTTAAGCCGAGGACATGTACAAAGTTCGACGGGGGCGGTGAAACAAGTCCATATACAATTCCACGTGGGGGTAGCGAGAGCAGGGGAAAAATTTCGCTTCTCGGCGGGAAACTTGGTTATTTCGGCCTCAGAAAATACTACTTGGATTGTTTAAAGAAATTCTTAACGACTGATAAAACTGACCCGTATCATATTAAACAAACAACGGAAACAAGTGGATACCATTTTATGAGAGTTATCGCACTTGAATACCAAAAATTATTTTTCAGGAAATGCCAACTAAGGTCACATTCCGTGAGGGCCATAGCATGATAACGCCGGTACTGTAACCTTCTATTAGGAAGTTAGACTTTTTCTCGATTCATTGGACTGATAGGTGTGATATCTACAATGATACCAGGCTAGTTTTCATTCCGAAACTCTAATTCGAGGGTTAATTTCCGCTCATCACGGCTGCTATGAAATTGTATTCAGGTAACAAAATATTTGTTTTGCACATTAAACCTTTGTTTGCAGTAGTAAATAGAGGCAAGCATGAATTCATATTTCAGGATTATTTACATGGCGACATTTCGTACTGAAGTAACGGTTTTCGTATCAGTTTCAATGCTGCCCAAAAATGTGGTTCGAAAAGTGCGTTATGATTTTTTTCCTAACCGCTATTTTGGCCTTCTGACGTCAATTCTAATTCACTGAACTGATTACAGTTTTAATTAACAGAGCTTAGAAGTCCTTCTGTAATTAAAAAACCTGCCATATCGATAGACAAAACAACGTTTTTTTAAAGGATTTTGTTTTTTGGTGGTTTACACCTTCCAAAGACAGGTTTTCAGGTTTTTCAAACTTGTTTCAATGAAATGTCTTCAGTGTGCTTCTAGAAGTCTGTTTCTCCGAGTTGTGTCATCGAGGTTCAAACCTCATTCCATTAGGACAGAAAGTCTGGAAAAACAATGCTTTGGACTGTCTTTTCTGGTCAGAAAGAATAAAAACAAAACCCGTATTGTTGTACGTTTAGCTATTATGGTATGACTAGGCATTGTTTACAAACTCAAACCAACCGGCGTTCTGAAAAACGTTTTGCAAAGAAAACATGCGCACATAAATATTTTAGTAAATAATATTTTGAGTTTTGATAGACTCAAACTTCGACTTCACTCTTGTGAAATATGAATACCCAATCAATGTGAGATCGGTCACTACCTGGTTTCGGTCTGATACGGCCAGAAAACAATGAGTATTAAAACGAAATGTGAATAAAAAGCTTGCACGAATTATGTGCTGTCGGGTCACTCACACAAGCTAAAACAGACGCAGCAAATAGCTATTTCGTATGTTATTTAGTTTCGATTGTCATTAAAACGGCTGATTTAGAGCTGATAAGAAAGGTTTTGAGTCCGTTTCGGACCTGAGACTGTTATGTTTGTAGAGGAGACTGTCCGGCGAAGCTTCCATCTCGTGTCTTGATTGGTTGTCTGCACAGTTGTAATTATCAGGTCATTACCATGTGACGTCATCATGCGGAGCCCCTTTTGCTTTGTTCAGAATCTTGTGACAAGTTGTACTCTTGGTTCGTTCCTTCTGCTCTGGTAAATCAACGTTTGTCTGAAACGTGCAAAAGACGTCTGTGCCCGTTTAAGACATTCGAAGCGGAATCGATTCGAGCACGTGCAATGGGCTCGAATTTCATGTTCTAAATCTACGATGATCTGAAGCCGTCAGGGATATTAGAGAGCGGTTGACTCGATTGTTTTGAGTGGAGAAAATTGTTTCCTGCGTTTCTTTGCCGACAGTTTTCCTTCCTGCAGGCAGAATTCGGTTAATTTATCTTTGCGGCGTAAGGAATGATAGCGGATGTAGTGTTTGGTAGTAGTTCTTGACGATATGCCCGAAATCGGTGAGCATTTTTATGCCGCTTCGGCGGGCTTCTTGCTTTATAATCTGAACTTTTGCGTTTAGATGACCGGTAGTTGAAGATGTCAGATTTGGTTAAAAACCGCGCGGTATCTTTGCGAAACAAGAAATTGATAAAGCCTTTGCCGTGTCCGAAGGGATTTAAGTGTTGTTTTTAAGTGTTCTCTGTTTAGACCAGGGTGAATGACTGGCTTAACGAAAGTTTCGTTTGAAGTTTGGTGTGTTACCGTGTTGTGTTGTAGTGCTCAGTGCTCGTTGAACTAAATGTGACACTACTCTTGCGTTCTAGGTCGGGATGATTTCGACCATTACGAGAAAGGTACGGTAATTGTCATCGTTTCTTTATTTAACTAACGACTGACTGCGATATAATAGAGAAGCCTTGATTTCTTTGTAGTTTGCACATAGTCAAAGTGCCAGAGAAAAGTGCTGTATGCTTTATATAAGCTACATAAGCTTCTTATGGACATTTTTTCCACTACTCATTTAAATTTGCCTTGCAAGCCATCTACGTTTATCAGCGAGGATGGTCAGATTATGCTAAATCTTGAGGTTGCAATCAACGAGAATATTCATCGTCATTTTGCGAGCCTTAGGCGTTTTCGTAAGCGTTTTAGCTTGCGGAATTTAAGTTATATTATTGTTTGATCAAGTTGTTCGTAAATGGCTTGTAGTTGTGAAACCAATGAGTACACAAATCTTTTTTAATTCTAAACTTGTTGGAGGCTTTGAAACAAAAGAAGGTGTTTATGGGCTGCAAGAAGAAAGTCTGTTTGCTAATTTTGATTTTTATTTTCTTCTCGTGACGAGAAATTGGAAATATATTTCAAATCGAATGCATAATCATTGCTTTAGTTACGTGCTTACACGGTGAAACTCTTAACGAATCGGTTAATCCTGTTTACTGGCTCTTATTTGAAACCAAGCTTTCGTTTTCTAGGTACGTGATTTTCTTCCAATAAGTCTCAGCAGGCTTAATTATTTTAACAAAGTGCACTTTTAGGAGCGCCCATAGTGATATAACTTTTGCATGTTTTCTTGAACCTTCACTTTGAATCGCTTCAAAATTTTAGAACGGCGAGTTTGCCAGGGGAAACTTTGTTCCAGCAATGTACAGACAGAGAAGCAAAATGCTGTGAAGGTAAGATTGATTTTCCTGTAATGACTAAGACCTGTTTGTGATTGATTTTTGTGGCTCGATTGTCTTAAATATTTTTTTAGCTCTAACTTGGAAGTGGAAAAGTATCGTGATTTGAACAATTTGCATACGGTATTCAATTCGCGAATAATTTTTCCTGGGCTTATCAGTCTGACCGAGACCTTTGATTGTGACCAAAATCGAGAATTAAACCTTGTTACTAGTCCACAAATATGTTTTCCAGAATCATCCTTCAGTAGAAAATAATGGTAATAAGCAATAAAAACAAAAGAATGTAACTGAACTATTAATATAAAATCAGGAATTTAATCAAGTTGTTCAAAATTTGGTTTCTTGCGAAGTGCATGTTCGAGACGCCTCATCCAGCTTTTAAGTCTTATTGTTAGCGCAAAAAAATATATCTTTCATTCATTCTGTGACTCACGTTCTGGGGTTTGCTGGGTGTCTAAGGTTACTCTATTTTAGGTGATCTGTTACCTGAGAGCACACTATAATTGCATGCATGTTCTTCAAAACATTCTAAACCTCATTAACAGAAATCCTGATATATAGATGGTGGATCACATTATACAGATTGATGGAATATTAGGTTATAAAATTATAAGACGACTTCTATGAAGTTATTCTTATTTATTTAAAAGAACAAACAAATAGCCATTATATCCTAACTTAACTGGTGTAATTAAATTATCTGTAATTTAAGTCCGGTCAGCTCATGTTCACGTGCAAACCTCACCATAATTTAGGCTAGAGTCTTCTCCAACATAGATTTATTGACATGTATCTTATAATTTGGATTTGATAAAAGCTTCACAACTGTTATAGCATGTACAAATTTGTACATTTTTCCAAAAGTTCTTGCACATATATGTACTTTTCCAGTCATTTATGGCTACATTGTGTATTTAGGGTTTGGAGGTATGCCTAACATGTTTAGTGATATTTCTTGTGAAGTAGATATTCAATTATATGGATTGATCCAGACATTTAGGTCAGATATCATAGGATTATAAATATTGAAAGGTACCAGAATGATCATGTGAAAATAAGGCTGATTGGTCTTAGAACCACAAATTGATGTCATCATGTAACGGCTGACTTTCATGTGGCCCATACAGTTTCATCTGTTATTGGTTTGTTAAAATACATTAGAATTTACTGCTTACTGTTTCATCAGCACTGAGTTCTTCATCCCAAATAACTTAAACAAGTAGCAGACTTTTTACGACCTCCATAGAGATCTCCATTTTTATTACATTTTTTAATGTCCAATTGTAGTTAAAATTTAACTTATAGAATCTTGCAAAAGAAATTATTATGGATCGGGTGTGATTCTAGCAACTTAGGTGGCTAGCAGTACTGCAGTGCAATTTAAAGTTCAAATTTGAATTGAATGAGAAATTTTGATTCATTGATCTTTTGTCACAAATTGGAGAATGGTGTAGATAACCAGTTTCAGAGCAAGGTTCACAATTTTGTTCTCAGATAACTCAGGCACGTACAGGGCTTCTAATTAAGGTGATGAACTTCGCTCAATCTTCAGTTGCAAGTACTGCACTTACGTAAGATTTGGACCATTGTTGTATTGTTTTGAGTTTGTGTTGTACTGAGATAACCAATTGAGTAGCAAACAGGTCATAATCCTTTTAATTGAAAATAACTCATGCAGAATGTTAGGTTTGTCTGGTGTGTGAATTTCATTGATATTTATAGGATAATCAGTAATAATTATTTAATGTTATTCTGAGTAAAATATGTGTGTAGTGAATGTTATACCTGTAGCTGTGTCCTTTGCAAGTGTGTTGAACGAACTGGCAACATTAACTATAAAGACAGATTAAGGTGGGTCATGTGAAATCATTAGTGCAAATCCAGTCTCAAATTTAACTTTAAGCAAAAATAAACATGAATTGTGCTATTGTTATTGATCGAGATGTAGAGAAAGATTGATCTTGATTCCAGCTGCAACTGGAACAAGATGATAAGGCTGGTTTAAAAATAAACCTTTCTTACAAGCATAGATTGTTGTATAATCTACAGCATTCTTTTCATGCAATACAGCTAAGTATGGATTTGACTTCAGGAAATGTTGACCATTGGGTGTAATAAATGTTTTGCATAGTTAAAAACTGGAATTAAATTATGAATTCACACTGATCAGTGCTGATGAGTTTTTGTTCTATTTTATCCCAGTCAGTAAAATAATTTTTATTCTTTATCTGGGTGCATGTTAAAAGCCACTTTAAGTTTGTTTCAAAATTAAACAAAATAAATTTCTAAATAAATGTAACAGGAAGTTATAATCAATTGATATTGTCTAACTTTTACCTTGACAAGTAAGAGTTCAGAAATAGCTTGCATATGAAATATACTTTCTACTTCTGTATATTGTAATTTTTTCTGCCTGTTTAATGTCATTAAGCTGGTTGAAAATTGTAAGTTAGGAATGCTGTTATTAATATGATTATACAACCTTTGGTCGAGGTCTATATTTTTTTATTTGTTTATATAAGATCAAATATGTGTACTATTACACTTAGTGTGGCAACAGTTGTTTTAGAAGTCTCTGGTAGAAACTCTTACAGAGAGATAACATTCCTGCACATATCAACTTTATACTTGGTTAAGACATGACTGATATCATGTTAACTTCCTCAACTACCTTACATGTTGGCTTGCATTATTTTGCGAAACACAATAAGGTTTCACAGGTCAAGCTAGAATTCTTTTTATCCTTGCTTGTGACCGGCATGCAAAGGCTCAGCTTGCAACTTTAGTCTTTCATGGCTAGTGTTGATTCGAATAAAACTTTAATTCCAGCCTACCATTAGGACAAGTAGCTTTAAAGTTGTGCTTTCCTTGGGCAAGTTTGAGGATTTAGTTGGCAGATGACTTGCCTGATCTCTTGTCCATCAGCAAGTGAGAACGAAAAGTTACTTGCCCAGAAGGAAAGTCAACTTGTTCTGGACAATGGGATGGCATTTTTTTCCACCCCTGCATAAGCTTTAACGTACATTCATGTGCCTTAATCTTGAGGAGTTGTAAACCAGATTTTTTGACAAGAATTCAATTAGAAGTAGTTATCTTTCTCAATCTTGTGCAGATTTGTTGATAACAAGTGTTTAATCTCCTTAGTCTGTGACAAGAAGTAAATGGATTTACCACATTCATGCCTCACATAAAAAATATGTAAATATATGGAATTCTAGTGCAAGTTTCAGTTAAATTCATTCTAATCTCAACAATTTCACTGTTTATAAACTTTGGAATCAGTGCCCTTGCCTATCAAGAATTTGTTGTTATTTGTGAAAAGCTGTAAGGTCACGCTCAATTTATCAATTGTTATTCTGAAAAGAAAAGAATTTTGAAAATTTTAAAAATGTTTTCAAAGTGAGAAGAGACAAAATAGCAGCCTTGTGCCAGACAAAAGTTCAATTTTTTTGTTTTGGAAAATTACACTATTTTTAAATAACAAAAGATAATTTAAAACAGCTCTGCTGTAAGAGTTATGTGTAGATGGTAGCAAGAAAAAAAAAGAATCTTGATTTTTTTTTTGTAAATGTAATATAATTCTTGTATACCTGCCGATACATGACATAACAACTGCTGTGATTGTAGACGTGAACAAAAAATGATCTTATATGTGCATCATCTCTACCAGTTTTACATAGATGCACATTCATGTCAGTATAACATTGTCCACCACTGAAAATATTCTTGCTAACTTTTGCCTTTTTGTAATTTTATGTTTGGACTAATATCTGTTAATTTAAACCAGTGCCGAAAACATCCAATTGGTAATTCTCAACATGAAATCTAATCCCTTGTTTGTCTCTAAATTGCAAAATTGGTCTAGAAGCAATAGATTCATGACGCCTGCATGCACTCATTTCATGATCATGTGATCTAAAGCACGTGTTATAATGCCCTTCAGTAGCCTTCTAAAAAGAATGCAGCACGATTCATACACGTGTCTAGTAGCAGTAATGGAGTTTAATTCCACAGTGAATTTGAAAAGTTGATAATAATAAATTGCAAGTTTTGTTATCTTAGGTATCCCTGAATCTTGTCACAGTTGGTTGAAGAGCATTGTCCATTCATTGCTGTAAACATCTAAACACCGGCTTAAAAGTAGTTTAAAATAGTTTTGAAATGCTGTTTTGAGAGACTAGCACATGCTGGGAAATCTATTTTTAACTACTGCTAACAGTAGTTGAAGCTAAATAAATCCAGCATATATTTCCGTTCCTTCAGGTGTAGATGCAGGTTTCTAGAATGTTCTTGTATAAATTAGCATTGATTCTTTAACTAATTTTGGTTTTTATTACATGTTTAAGTAATTAACCATGGGTAGCAATCCATAAGTTGTGCTGCTTGTATTCCTGTAACCAGATTCTTAATACTTGCTGCTCCTGAATTTCAGTACATGTCTTAATGCATTTATTTTTTGAATGCCAGGTCTGTCACCATGAAGACTGCCAAGAAGCGAACCATGGCCATCCCCTGCTGCTCTGTCTAAGGTGCGATGAGGTTCACCACCTTGGTTCTGGCTCAAACCATGCAAGGTTTGACGTACCGGGTAAGGTTCTAGATGGCTATAAAATAAGTGCACCTGAATTGAACATCGTACACATGCAGGACCAGGCAAAACTGACAGTAACATATTTCATAAAATACGTAAATAATTTATAAAACAAATAAATTATTCTGTGATGTCAGTACTCAAATAGACTGGTTAAACAGGTTATCTGAAATCTTATTCTGTACCCATGAGGGTAACAAACATTTTCCCAAAATATATCGATTATGTGAAAGAAAATCATACCGTGATAAATTCATAAATTAACCATTTCAGAGCATTCATGAAGTGTCTTCACTCCCCCTACAGGTGCTTTTTAAAATAAGACTATAAATAAATGCGATGATAAGATAAAATAATATATGATATCTGCGTGTTAATAAGATTTATTCAGTTTGATTATCGTGCATGTCTGTTTCGTCAGCTCTGAGAAGTAGGCAGTTCATACTAATTAAAACAGTTTCCGGTAGTTGATAGTTGTTTGTATTCTCAGTACCTGGCTACGTGATGATGAATTAACATGATTGGGTGAAAATAGCTGTTTATCAGATGACATGGTTGATGTTTTTGTTTTTCCTCTTTAGAGAGGCCAAGTACTAATTTAATCAGGACGCCCTCCAGCCACTCGGCAGGCTCTGATTCAGGAAACGAGGATGACCTGGAATCTGAACCAAAAGTGTAAGGATATTGTCAGTTGTAGTGGTCTGGCTAAAAAAGATAAATTGAAATTTTCTACTCATCTGATTTCTACCAAGTTTTAGTATAAATCTACTAGCATTCTATCACGAATGCTGTTCTTTGATTGGCTACGCTACTCACTATCAATTTTGTGATATGTAGTGAGTAGTGTAGCAGTGTGCTCTTGTTAACAAAATGATGGCTGCTTCTTGGTGTTTTCGAAGTGTCTGTGAGGAGGATTTAGATAAAGTTTTGAATGACTAGTAGGTGTATATTAATAACTAGTAGTAATCAGAGATTATGAGAGTGCGTTCGACGCTCTCACTTTAATATAGAATTATATATCGTAAATAAATGATTTCACTAGCCGACTTTCAACCTTTGTCTATTGCTAAAATCAACATTTTTTCAGCAGCAACCGAGGTTTTACAGTCAGATATGCCTAGTGTCAAAGTCCATGCTAGTGAAGAGGTCACGATTTGTTGATACGTTGCGTGACGCTGCCAGTTTCTGTAGTCTCTCAAGTTTCACAGAATATTTAAATTACGTA